ATACAGGATAGCTACTAATTCATGGCGGCCTGATTCTGGCTCACAGAACAGTGATACCCAGTCATGTGGGATGCTCATTAGAGTTTTACTTTCACAAAAATTTTCTGAGGGCAGAAGAAAAAAAAAAGATTGGTTATCTCTCTGAGCCAATCAAATTATAGAGGCTGGACCAACCAATCAGATGTCTTGGTCCCACCTCCTCTACAATCTGATTGATTATCTCTGATTTTTCCTTCTGCCCTCAAAACATTTTTGCGTTGTTAAACTCCCACGAGCATGTGGCATCAGTACGCACTTAAAAAGGACTGATACTGGACTGGTAAGGGGAAGAATCCAACTTGCATATCCAGAAGCAGGATGCTAGGCACACGAAAACTGACACAGAATCGTGTTGGGGAAACAAATGAAATACATTCTCACAAAACCTGGTTATCAATTCGCACACGGCGCTCGCGGTTTCCTGGAACAGCGGGATACAAGCCAGTTACATGGGGATGATCACTAAACGAGGGCCTCGAAGCTTCATTCCAGCTGCACGGTTTCGACATGAAAAAGAATGAGGCCTTTGTGAACTGGGGGCTTTTCATCTCTCTGTTCACCTGTACGCTCGCCTACTTGGCGGGGGGGGGGGGGACACACACGTGCCAATGCTTGAGATGCCGGCCCATGCAAATTTTCTGCTGATGAGTGATCTCCACCCCCCAGCCTTAAGCCTCAGGGCCCCTATTCTGAGACTGGGCTCCAGTGCATCCTATCTGCACTGAAATTAAACATTGTCATTACCCACACCTGCCCTACAGGGTGCCTAGCAGCTGAAACACAGGCGGTTAAAATTACTGGCCACCACAAATACAACCTGAGTTTTTTTTTTTTTTTGAGCCGAAACACACTGGGTGACGGTGGCGGCATTACGGAAATAGCCGACCCTGACGTCGCCGAAACGCGGATGAGAATGGCGGAATGCACAAAGCGGAATGCACCCCCCCCCCCCCCCCACACTCACAGCTTTGAAATTGGTGCAATTTTCTCCCATGAAAAAACGTACAAAAGATGCCATCAATCCGAGAGCCGTAACAGGTGTGTGGCTTCGAGGGTAACGATTCCCATTTTATCACCACGACACTGCAGAAAGGGGTGGGGGTGGGGGGGGGGGGGCAGCTCTTACGGCATCCCAGCTCTTTAAAATTAGCAGCTTTTTATTTTAATCATCTCACCATTGTATACTGGAAGGCATGAATTATTCATGGGTCGGTTTATTCCCTTTTCTTCTTCTTCGGCTCCGTTTCCCTTCCTCGAAAAACCAGGAGCAGAAAAGCCTCAGAGCCCCCTCCCCATCCCGTTTCCTCCCACCTTCCTGCAGTTGACCGAACGTTAACCAAAATCCTCATTGACGTGTGACGCCGTGCCAGATGCTCCCCAGCGCCACACGCTGGAGACCGCAGCAGCGGGCTGGGGCACGACCATGAGATTATAGTGGAAAACAAAAAAAAAAAAAAGAACAAGGCAGACAGTGTCAGGCTTCCTGCCGCCCTCGCCGCTTAATTAGCTGGGAGGAACGGAGGAATACATTTACCGATTTCGGTTATGCAAGGCAGTGTGAGAGACGGAGAAGGGAGAAGGCAGGGTGTCCTAATGCGAGCTGGATCTGCGGCCCGGCTATCGCAACACAGGGAGCAGAGAGGAACAGGTGATTGTTCCCGAGGTCAGGAATCCATCCCCAGCGAGCACACAGCGGCTAATAATGAATCGACACAGAGCAGAGACAAACACACCTTCAGCAGAAGCAGGACAGTACTGCAGAGACACAAGCGCCCAGCCAAGACAGACGCGCACAACCCCCCAACAAGGCAGTGGAACCGCACACTGCGTCGCAGAGCAGAGCCAAGCTTAAGGTACAGTATTCTCTTCCAGTGGGGAGGGGGGGCACAACGTGGTCCTGTTTTTGACAACATCTGAATTAAAGACGTGATAATTCCCCAAATTGGATTTTTTGCGGCAGCCTTCAGAAAGCTATAATAAAAAAGGCAGAATAACCAATTGGATGTAGGTTCAGCTTTATGTGTGGCGGGCGGGACTTGTGGCATGAATCAAGGGCCTGAGAACCGGCATGCAGTGAGATTGGAATTCCCAGCAATGCCTTTACCCCGCCCCCCCACGCATACGCACACGTGCACCCCTCATCTTCCATCTTTTAACCCTCCCCCCCTTCCCATCATTCAACCCCCCTCCCCTTTCCCATCTTTCAACCCCCCCCTCCTTCCCTGCAGTGAGTCAGCAGTGAACACACTGGTCACTTTGTTTCCATGGCAACGGCACAAGCAGAGTGGAGAAGCGACGGCGATCTCCAGAGCCATGTGAGCTTGGGATCAACATCTGACGAATCCCCAGTACCCCTCCCCCCCTCAAACCCCCACTGCTGCTGCACCTGTCAGAACCGGACAGTGACCCTGGTGACGTCGGCCCCTGTCCATTTATTGAGGGGGACGTGCACCAGTTAGTCGTTTTCCGCATGGATTGGACAAGCAGGGGGCCACTAGCCTGTTAGCACTGTGAACAAATGGCAGGATAACTCTCTCTAATGTTGATCTCTCTCTGAAAGCGAGGGGCCAAATCACGCATAAAGGGTTAAGTTGAAGATGTGCGGAAATGGTGCCAGGAACAGGGCACATTTAGGACTAGTGGGACAGATGCATCATCAGAGTTTACGGAAGCTGAAAACCGAGGTGGTCTCTGATACAGGATTCCTCACCCGGACGGCGAGGAGGCCGTGTGAATTCAAAGGCTGGCAGGCAGGGAGGCCAAACCGCACAGCGAAAGAAAAAAAAAAAAACAAGAATTAGCATAGGGATGCAAGTGTGCTTCACAGGCTGACAGCTTCCCAAAGATCCAACATCTGTTTCCCTTCAGTAAAGATCTTCTAGGGAAAAAAAAGATGGATGGTTTAGTTCATGTTGCAAATTGACAGAATGTCGCTCATTAAAATTTTGTCTACGAGATGCAGTTGGCGTTTTGCAGAATGTCGATATAAGACGTGTAGTTTAATTAGTATAGTTCAGGTTAAGGTTAGTACACTGACTTCCAGGTCACTTAGGACACGGATTACAGAAACTGGAACACGGCGAGTTTATGTTAGAGTTTATGAATCATTAATGGTCTCGTCAATAGAGGGTCGATGTTTGACAGATGCAGGAAGCCTCCGGTTAAGTGAAGCCTGCTTGGAAACATGCTGGGGGGGGGGGGATACTGTACCTTCAGCTTTTCTGCCTCTGCTCGTGGGACGACCATGAACGGACAACCACAGTGCAGTTGAACTTTTTCCACAACGTTTATTGAAATAAAATTGACTTTGCTCATAGAAACGTATACAAAAAAAAAACAATGTACAGAATACATTGCAGAGACTTGACATAAAATGACAAGAGGCAAATGAAATATCATTGGATGGGATCAAGCCACAGCTTTAAATGCAGTCAAGCTGACAGGTAACGCAGACAAAAAAAAAACAAAAAAAAAAACATAAAAGTGACTTGTTAACACTTCAATGGATAAAGAGTTTAAAACACCCCGAAGAGCCCAGCCTAGTGATCGCTCTCAATTGCCATTGCACATTAAAACCACAGCCTGCTCCTATTCAAAACGTTGCATAATCCCATTAAATATTAAAGCATACAACATTTAGATGAAAATTCCTCCCCTAACATGGCATTAGCATGTGTGCCACTCCTCAAATTTCGATAGGCTTTACGTCATTTTCCAGATGTGATCCCAGTAAACCGCAGCAAACAAGCTGCATTTTTATGAGTGCAAGCTGTTGTAACTGGTGCCAAACCAATGGACTATTTGCCCCAAGCGACAGAAACAGCGAGGACATCCTCCAACACTTCAGACACCTCCTCGAGCGTGACTCTCGTTCTAGATGACACCCGACATAAACATGCCGTAACAGACTGACTTTCAGTAAAAATGCATTAATACATTCACAACTCTATGATTGTCTCTGTAATTAAAAAAGAGAAACAAAACAAAACAACAAAAAAACACACAACTTTGGTTCCCGCTCTCTTCAAATAGTGTAACCCAACTTGTCATGGTCCACTCTCTACATTCACAACCAAAGACACATTACAAGCGGATGGGTGACACCCTGACCCCCGTCTCCGTAGCTGTGCACGCCGGAAGCTCATTACACACAGGCGTTTGATAACCCCCAACCCCCCCGGCATGCACATCAAATTTGGCAAGGCACTTTAGGTGGGTAGGCAAGGGGATGGAATTACCTGCGATTAGTCCGTGCAAACAATTGGCTTAAGCACCATGTAAAAGAAGGAATAAAGGCACCATTATTAAAGTCATTTTCAGGGGCTCAATGGGATGCTGGGTGGATCAAAAAAATGAAAGACCCATCCCCTCTCCATCACAATGCCGAGACACCTTCTTTTTAACCCCCCACCCCGGTTCTGAGTTGTGCATAGTGGACACAGTTCAATCACTCTAAGCGAAATGAAAGCCACGTGAAACAAAATACTGCCGGCATTACAGATTGAATTTTTCCCATCGGTAGAACAGTTATGCATTTCAAATGTCCATCCCTGACACAGACAGCACAGGCAGGTATCCTGTGGCTGTTTCTTTCCTGGTCATTGTGAGGAATTTCAAATAGCTTCAATGGACAGACAGCCCAAAGACAGAATTCTCATTTAAAGTAGACCCATAAAAATATAAACAAGTCCTAAAAAATAAATCTTCAAAAAAAAGAACTTGGAAATTCCTTCATTCAGAATTAACATAACAATTAAAGTCTTTTCCACTTACAACCTAATAAAATAAAACAAAATAAAATAAACTAAAAAGCACACTCTAGCTAAGTCTGGCTCAGTATGCCTGCAGTGTGTGCAAGAGTGACAGTGCAGTGAAATTCTTTGGTTGAAGGTCTACCATACATCATCAGTCCATGTGATATTCCTGTCCAGACCTGCTGTGTTTAGGAAGTAGTCTCCTACCTGTTTGCTGCTGTATTTCGGGGGGTTAGCCTTGTAGCTGTAATCCGAATACTGGTCGGAGCCTGTGGAGTTGTTGTCCCCCGTCCCCACGAAGGTGTTGGTGGCGGGCAGGTCCTGAACGGCCTGGTGCTTCTTGGAGGCCGAGGGGGACTGAGGCTGAAGCTGAATAGAGGGCAGTGGCGAGTTGGAGCGGTAGTGGCGGCCCAGATCCGGGCTCGCTGGTGGGTAGTTTAGGGGCAGATGAATTCGAGGACTGTCACCGACACTGTCATTAATAAGGTTGAACTTCAAGGTATTCTGGCGGCTTGCCTCCTCGTTCTCCTCCAGGGGTTTGGCTGGCTTGGGGGCTTTGCCCTTCTTCCCCTTCTTACCCTTGCTGCTTTTGGGTCCCTGTTTAGAGGCGTACAGATCCTTCGTCTCCTTCTTTCCTGCCTGATAACCGCTCTTGGCCTCCTTCTGCAGACGGTGCCGGATGACTACCACCACCACTATGACCAGGATCACACCGGCAATCCCTGCCAAGCTGCCATACAGGATGTTGCTGCGTTGGGCAGCGCGGCTGTATTCGGGGTCACCGGCGATGTCAGTGTCCAGGGGGGTGTACAGGCTGTGGCCTACCAGCGACTCCACCAGGGTGACGTTGTTGATGGTCTCGTTGACGTAGAAATGCACGAGGGCAGTGGTGTGCCGCGGTGGCTTTCCTTTGTCGCTGACCTTCACTACCAGCCTGTGGAGGCCGTTGTGCTTACGGGTGAACTCCTTAGCTAGAGTAATCTCTCCACTCATGGGGGAGATGCGGAATAGTCCATGGGGGTTTCCACCTGTGATGCTGTAGACCAGCTCAGCATTGGGGCCCGTGTCAATGTCCTCCGCCTCTACCATCTCTACCTGAGTCTCGGGATTGGTAACAGGAGGAAGGAACTTGTATGTGGAATTTGATGGCTTGGTGACATAAGGTGCATTGTCGTTCTCATCCAAGACGTTGATAGTCACACCAACGTAGGAAGATCTTGGTGGGTTGCCTCCATCCACAGCCTTCAGCCGAAAAGTATAGGTGCTCTCTTTCTCACGGTCAAACGAGATACTAGAGAGAATAGTGCACGTGCCGTTCTGGATTACGAATTTACCATTGTCTGGTTCTACGGATAGATGCACTCGGGCATTCTCGCCTTTGTCCGTGTCGATGACCGTCACCATTCCGACAGGGCTAAGGGGAGGCATGTTCTCCAGGACGGAGAAGCTATAGCCATTAAGCATGAATTTGGGGTCATTGTCATTGCGGTCCAGCACTCTGACCACTACTGTAGCTGTCCCTCGCAGGCTGGGAACACCCTTGTCAGCTGCGGCAACATGGAACTCATACCGTTCCCGTTGTTCTCGATCTAACTGACTCAATACCTGAACCTCCCCTGTGTTCGGATTGATGTCGAAGACTCCTTTCATGGATGAGTCCATAATGCTGTATATGAGCTCAGCATTAGTCCCGCTGTCTGCATCTGAGGCCACCACATCCAAAACTTTGTCTCCAGGCTGATTCTCCTCTGGGAAGTCCACCTCAAAAAGAGATGGCGAAAAGATGGGGGAGTTGTCGTTTACATCTGTGACTTGAACTTTGAGCGAGTTGGTGCTGGAGAGAGCTGGGTTGCCCGAGTCCACAGCCACAATCTCAATTCGATAGCCGTTGACGCGCTCGTAGTCCAGAAGCGTGGTCGTTTGCAGGAAGTACTTCCTTTTGCGGTCACTGGGAGCCTCGCTGGCTGGCCGCAACTGGAACGGGACATCTCCTGCAACCACACACGTCACGACCGCATTCTCACCCTCATCACGGTCCGAGACCTGGACCAAAGCCACAGGAGTTCCAATGGGCATGTCCTCAGATATGTTAGCCACCCCATCCTGGTGGGTTACCAGCCCAATACCACGAATCTCAATCGTGGGGGCATTGTCATTCTGGTCCTTGACATTTATTAAAACAAAGACCTTGGAGCTTCTGGAGTTTGGCCCCCTGTCCCGTGCGTTGACGTAGAACCTCAACATGCTAATCTCTTCTCGGTCCACAGGGCTCTTGACGGAGATGATGCCGGTTGTCCGTTCAATCCTTAGGAGCCTCTGGACAGCGTCGTTAGCCTGGTGCAGACTGTAGTCGATTTCTCCATTAGGCCCCATATCAGAATCATTGGCCTTAACCTGCAGACAGACCAAGAGAAAGACCTTTACATATGGAAAGCATTCATACAATGACTCTTTGACAGGAGGGCAGTTTCCAGGTGCCTTTATTACCCAGTATAAATTACTGTCAGACACTGCCTCTGCTGACAGCACAGCTCCCTTTATGATGGCCCTGTCATGATAAGATTCCTATTATTCTCATCCAAATTTAGTGTACATCAGGCGCACGATGAAAAAACAATCCCGTTAAGTGATCGTCACACGGTTCATTTGCATTGAATTGGGCGAATGAGACTTTGCATGTTAATCAGCTCCTCTCGTTAATAACGGCTCTTAGACAGTGCCATTAGGAGGAGATTGAGAAGAGTGACAGAGAGCTTATGGACCAAAATCAGATCAGCCCATAACGTGTTAAGCCTTGCCAAAAATAAGCCGCATCCAGCAAGGCAGGAATCTGAGAATTCACCCCGATTGCATTAGGGTAATAAATATGCAGCACCCTTCCAGCAAACTGCCCTTTAACAAGATTTACAGCATCCTCTTTGGTTTCCACCACATGAATATAAGCTTGGCTTCCTAGGAGAGTAAATCTGGGATGCTTTCTCAAATCCTTCTATGGCAAGAACTGTATTCCATTTGTTTAATGCAAAGGAATTTTATTCTTTTTGCACCAGGCAGTAACGTTAATGCAGGAAAAAGCCTTTACTTCTGTCATGGGCCCAAATAAAGTGACAGCTGCAGGCTACACAAACGATACTTCTGGATGGAACGGGATTTAATGGTAACACCCATGTGGTAACTTGATGAGGACTGGGGCACGCTTTAATATACCCTCCGCAGGCCTAAAATGTGAGTGAAATGTCCAGTCAGGGACTCAACACTGACATTAGCATCACCTAGAATACTAGCAGGTCTTCTGCACTACACCAATGATTCTAATGATAATTCAATCCCATTCCACCCTTACTTTTTCCTCCACACACCCCTTACATAATTTCCTTTCAAAACAAATACATTTCACAGTATTACATTCCCCATTTTTTCCATTGCTATTAGCAATACTGTTCACTACTGAGATCCAGTTAACCAAAGGAGTTCAGTACCAACGCTACTAAAGATAATAAAATAGAAAAACAATTCTCATAGCATATCCATAAAACTACTCCAAAAAGCCTTTCAAATCTTCTCACCAGTAAAGTCAGAAATTTTGCATCAAGTACCTAATAAATTCCCTGAATATTTCAATAAATTAAGGAAACTATTTTTAAGTCAGTGACAAATACTATCCCAAAGCTCTTTCAGAAACCTGCAATTGTTTACAGAAGAATCAACCACGTCTGTCTGGAGAAACTATTTCTGGATCTGTTCCACATTTGTGGCTTACCTAATCATTACTAAGCAATTCAATATGCGATTCTCAATTGTCAATACTTCACTATCATTTTGTATCGCTTAAGCCACCAAGGCGATGCAAGAGGAAGGGAGCAGGGGGGAAAAAAATCAATAGCTGCAAAAATATGATTTGGTTTCCTGGTTTGCTTAACCCTGGCCCTGACAGGCTGGAAGCTGGCCCACTCCCCACTGAGATAGGCAAGGCTCTCCTCTATGAGAGCACTTGTCAGTCTGCTTTTGGGGATTCAAGTGCCCTTGTGGACGGGAGGGGGATGCCACCATAGTTTGCCACTTCTGGTTTCAATCAGTACCTTGCAGATTGCATTCGTTAATTGTGTTCATTCTGGGAATTTACACAAGACACCTGAACCTATCAGCCAGGGAAGTGGGGAGTGGTGGCTGGCAGGGCGATGAGGAGAGCATGCAGAGAGGGTCTGGGAAAGGCACTTTATTTTGAGCCAAACAAAATATTACTGCAGAAACCTGGGATATTCCCACACAAACTTCAATCTCCCAAAATACATGGGTGGACCTCAGCAGTGTAACTACATCCAAATGCCGATAACATGTATTTGACAGGATGACTGAAAGGCGGGACATGAGTGCTCTATATGATAGATTAGCGTCATGCTAATCGATGGATCCGCGGCCGATGATGATGACTATACAATGAATCTGTAGCATGCTTATATACATGTAATGGATATCTGACCTGGAGGACTGAGTGTCCTACGGGGCTGTTCTCTGGAAGCTCTGCCTCATACTGGGACTTCTCGAACTTAGGGGAGTTGTCGTTGGAGTCGGTGATGATGATCCGGAGCAGGGCGCTGCTGTATCGTGGTGGGTTGCCGCCATCCACGACCTTGATGCTAAGGTCATATGAGTCCTTCTGCTCACGGTCCAGGTTTCCCAGTACGATCAACTGCGGGAGCTTCTCACCCTGGTCCTCAGCCACCTGCAGGCCGAAGAGGGCCGAGGTATCGGGCCCCGGGGCCAGGGAGTAATCGGCCACACCGTTGTGCCCCGAATCCTTGTCACTGGCCACAGGGATCGAGAAGAGCGCCCCCAAGTGGGTATTTTCAGGAATAGAAAGGGAGAGGATGGGGGAGGGGAACTGCGGGGTGTTATCATTCATGTCTAGGACTTCGATGCGACCTTCGATCAGCCGTGGACCCTGGTTTTGGTTCAGGTCTGTGATGGAGACCTCGAATTCCAGGATGCAGGGATCTCCCTCAAACAAATTACGGCAGTCCTTCAGGCCTTCCCGGTCGATCGGAACCTCCGTGGTGAAGATGTCCCCGGTCTTACCATCCACGCGCAGATAGGGGGCGCCCACCTCCAGCTTATACAGGTGCCCCGTGTCTGGAAGGCCCTCGTCGGCCGCAAGGCTGGCGATCAGGGTGTTGGGGGGCTGCTCCTCAGGCACCTTGTAGCTGATGGTCCCCACGGCCCCACACAAGCTCAGCAGCAAGGCCAACAGCAGCAGCACTTCAAGGTGCAGATCCATATCTCCGGTCCAATGGCACTACTTCAGCCTGGGGAGACACACACAAGCCGTCGGCATGAGAAACCCGCTAAGCTCCCACTTCTAATCCACTAATAATTAAAAATCTGCGTTGGATATTGTATTGTACTTTTCCTCCACTAAATTTGTGCACTAATCACTTTTAAACCCCCAAGCTGCACCATGTGCTCAACTTAAATGCAAAAAAAATAAAAATTCCAATATCCGTTAAGGATGAAGCCTTGAATAAACGCCCTTACTGCAAAATAAAAGATTGCATGCTCCCCTATAGTATCCGCAGCCAAGCACCATTTTGAAGCGCTCGTTTACACAATAATTTGTTTCTGATGCGATGTTCCTTTTTTGATTTCTAACCTGTTCTTTCTCATATTAATTACCACTCTCTATTTTAGGTCTGGCTTTGATCCGAATTCCCAGAGCAGGCCACTTCTTTCCCTTTCTTGCTTAGCTGCAATTTATTTTAGCTTTTAATTATATCCTGAGCGAGTAAGAAATGGGGGCTGGTCACCGTGCTTAATTCGGCGCCCACCCCCCACCCCCAGCTTCCTGGGGCCCACCCGAGGGCCCACCCAGATATGTCAAGGCAGGGCCCCGGGTGCTGGGAGGGCGCCACAGTGGCGATCAAAAACCATCGCCGTCGCAGAAGCCACCCGGCCGGAAAAGGCAGTAGTAGAGGCAGAAAGAGAGAAAAGTCATTAAGACAGACTCTGGGAGGAGGGGGAAAGAACGGTCCCCCCCAGGGAAGCTTTCTTTCCCGGTTGCGGTACAGATCTCTAATGAGGCAAACGTTGGGACAAGGGGATTTTTTTTTTTTTATCTTCAACTGGTCACTTTGAGGTTTTTCCTTTTTATTATTTTTTAAATGTACAGAGGAAGTAGCCTCACCTTTAATTAAACTCACCTGCCACAAAGCAAAGCGGCTGTCTTTGCTGCCAAAACCAAAGTCCCCGCACCTTAAATCCCTGCGTATCCGCGGCTTAACGGGCGCCGTGTGCTAACCAAATAAGTAAGCTGGACTCCCTTTTTCTTCGGTCCTGCGAGGTTAGGGTCACCCCGGCTTTGATGTTCCCGGCTCTGCTAATTGCGGAGGTTCTCCTCAGTAGGCGTAGCCACTCCCCTTAAAGGGATCCCTAATGAGACACCGCACAAGATCAGCGGCAAGCGATAGAGGTACGGTCAAGAGTGCCGGCGCCGACCTCCGGTTGAACTTCAGCGACGAGGACTTCTTACAACAGACCCTGCCTGGTCCCTTCTGAATATGCGAGAAACGCTCTGAGAATTGCGACGAAGATCAGACCCCCTGAGGAATCCCCAGACCCTACGGACCCCTCATCGTTCCCAGGACTTTGCCAAATTTCCCACCACGAGCCCCGCCGGCTGTCACGTGTCAGGCATTCCACAGAGCAGCAGCAGGGGTCCTGGGAAAGGGCCGGGAAGCCCGGCACGGTGAGCACCAACAGTGGGAAGAAACAACCCGGGTAGTATGGGGGTGGAGAGGAAGCCTGTCCGAGTGGCCCAGTGACAGGAAGTGCGGACGGAACGAGAGAGGAGTCCGGGCCGGGCTATTGGGAAAAGCTGCGCGTTTGTTTTCTGTCAACCGGGACCGGAGATACTCCACAGCTGAAACTTCCTGCCAAACAATTAAAAAGTCCTGATATTAGTGGTGTGTGTGTGTGTGTGTGTGTGTGTGGGGGGTGGTTGCTGTAGTGTTGCAGTGGGAGCAGTTTTTTTTTTAGTCTGACAGCTTTAGGCAGTGAGGCCCAGCATCACCACAACGCTGTTCCCACGCTCCAGTCTCAGACATGGGGGGGGGGGGGCGGGGGTAGTTTATATTGTACAAAAAATAGAAAAAGAACCTCTCCATCACTATTTTCACATCAACATGCTCATTTCATAAGAATACAAAAAATATATATGCTGAGCTCTTTGTTTTAAGCTATATCAATAAAAAATGGCAATCCTGGCAGGAAAAAAACTCACAAAACATGAAAAATGCAGCAATCTAACCTTAGGTTGAGGACTAACATTAACCTTAACAGTCCTGACAACAGTTTGCTTTGTAATGGAAATTACCTGCTCCATTGGTTCCCCGTGACCCGGCCAGCCGGAACAGACTCAAAGCGGGAGGTGTAACCCCAATCTAAACCACACCTGTGCATCAAGTTCTCTGTCCCTCCTCGCCCAATATGTGCCTCTCAGAACGCACCCCCAGTGGGGGGGGACGCACACTAAGATAGGTCGTTTCGACAACAACGGCCTGAGAACGACCCTGCCAGGTATGTTTAGCATATTAACCTATTCGGCTCATTCCGAAACAACGACAAGACATTTCACTGCATTAGCATCAGAGCTGCAGGCATTATCCAGAGGAAGGAAAATGGGTTTGGGGTCAAAACATGCCGTGTTTTTTAAGCTAAGCACCAAGGCTGAAGTCAGCTCTCTCATGGGCTCTGAACAGGTCAGCTCTGTACTAACCTTAATTGACATTATTTGCTTCAATTCCAAAAGCAGGACAGGAAAAAAAAAAAAAAAAAACATTAAGCCAGGCGACTTAAGAAACTAGGTACAACATTGATAAAGTAAATTCTAGCCACTCCCACAAATACTGGCCATCACTGGTTCCTAAACTGAAAAAATATATATTTTTTAAAAATCTGAAGATTCACTGCTTCCATGTGCCTTGGAGGTGCCCCTCCGTATAGCCTGATGTCACCCTCGCACCCTGGCTACCCGGCGGCAGATAGCACACAACTCCCTAGCGTGCCAACTGAGGCATTCCATCCGCAGAGGAAAGCTGATGGATACCCCCTCTGATAGTCTCATAATAAGGAGAGGGGAAGACTGAACAAAGCATGGAGTTATGGCTTTTTCAGCCGTTGTTCCTCCAGAAATAGTGGGTCCAGGCTTTTAGGGAGCTGCTAACAATCACTCCCAAAAGGAGCTCGGATTCTTATTTGTGTAGAACCCGAGACGAGTGCAACGCTGTTCAAAACCCAACCCTCTTCACTTTGGTGGCAATAGGCCTGTGACACGAAAAATGGGGAAGGTAGGGGCAAATTCGCTCTGCGCTTAGCTTCCGGAAACACCATGAGATAGCAGATTGAACGCCTCCAGAATTATTCACAGGCTGAAATCGCAGAGAGGATCTCCAGAAGCACAGATACCCAACACTGGACAAAAACTGGCAAACGGCCACAAGATTTCACCACGCCCACTCCCAGGTGTGTGTGGTCTCACCGAAGCCTTCCTCCACATCGACCGCTTGGTTAAGTCATCTTCGGCCGCCTATTCCCGTGAACCCGAGAAGAGGGTCATCGCTGTGCATGGCAAATCGGTCGCATTTCCCAACAGAGGGAAAATGTCAGGGTTAATGTTTAACGCCAACCCTGGCTGAGCGTGCATAATGTGTCCTTTACCGCCCTGTGAGACCAACAGCTCTTACCCCAGCGCACACCTATTTACACACAGGAATTCGTATAAGCAAACACACACACACACCCCAAACAGAGGTGATGGTGTGTTCGGGACAAAGTACGTTGCCTCCAGCCTGCATGAAGGGCTACTCTCTACAGCCACAACTCCACAAGTATCTTACATAATCTTCAGTGGCAATTACATAGCACAGAAACCCCTTCAGATCTCAACCACTCCTTCCTGCTTCCATCTCTATTTGAATAGCCCCATCGTGAAAGAATTTTAAGGGGGGGGGGGATCTTTAACCAACAAAAGAGTGTTGAATTGCTCAGGAAGACTGCTATGCCCAGTGCCAGATATTGCTGCCTGAAGTCGGCTGCTGTTATAACGCACAGCTTCACAAAGGAGCGTTAAGGGAGGCCCGTGCTCCAATGTGGGTGGTCCTCCGCTACCGAACACACGCGATTCAAACAGGGGGATTACTTTAATCGTTTCGTTTTTTCATTCGTTGTTTGGTCAGATTAGCACTAATTCGGATACGACAAAACTGTTTACCGCTATGAACTGCGAAGCGGATCCGTGCGATCGGACTGGAGGGGGAGAGCAGAGCCTGTAGCCAGACGCAGGGTGGTGTGATGGGGAGGGGAAGGCTACGGAGATCGCTCCGGCGAAACGGCGGCGCCCGTGTCAGCGGCCATTCCTTAAACAAATCGCCCCGACCGAAGCTGCAACGTCGACAATATTTTCTCACGAATAAGCGGTATTCAAAGGCCCACGTCATTATTAAAAGAAAGATGCGAATGGTGCGCACGCCGTACCGTTTATCAGCAAAACTGCAACCGGAGCCGGGGAACAGTTTACCTACGATCCCAATAGCCTTGCTCTGCCCTCATTTCCTACAATAAAATATGGCCAATGCTCAAGTTTTTTTGGGAGTTACATACCCTGGGATCGATACTTTCTGTAGTTAAGTTTCGGGGGTGCAGGACGCCATGGCCGGTATCAGCCGTCCACGTGTGGGACGTACAGTCACACCTTTAATGGGTTAGGTTACAAATAAAGGACTTACTTTGGCAGTGAGGAGTGTTTGTATAAACACCGAGGTATTAAATTCTGTAAACACATGGAACAGAAATATACGTGCAAATGCAGCATGGTTAAAACAAAGTACTAAACCCCATAAAATAAGAACCTAACCCATATTTTGCGTAATTTTAATGCATTTAAAATACAGCCTTAAGTAGGTTCAGAATATTATGCTTCCTACGAGTGGCTTGATCACAATTACTGGCAAGCAGAATCAGCACTGACGAGTATTCAGGAAAACGCCTATTTAAACTACGAAAGGTAACCGTGAAACAACTTGAATTTGTCTGCGAAAGGAATGCCCAGGGGCAGGAGTTGACAATTCTCCTCACAAAGAAGTAATTTGAAGATTTCTAAAATTTTAATGAAAAGGAATCGTGGTCTCAGATCCATAATTATACGCGTGAACATTAGAAAAACACATTATAGAATGCAATTATTTCAGTCAGTTATCTATGAATTTGCAGTTAATTCAACGTATCGCTTGAAGCTGATCATAGCGTGGTATTTCAGATTTATATTACCCGGGAAATTTGGATTGATATGCTGTTTAATAAAAAGCTATTGAAATGAAACAGGAGAAAACAATGAAATACAAACTCGTATTATAGCACAATAGAAACAAATAACTGTGACTGGGTATTGATCTTAGTAAAGAAAAAGAAAGTTGAATTATCGCTCGTGGAGTAGCCTACCTGCTGAGCAACAGATTGAACATAATTGTTTGCATTCTTTGGATTTAAAAGTAAAAAGAAAAGACGTTTGTGCGAGGCCCAGTGATATGGCGTTCAGGTCTATTTGATAATCGTTTCACTATAAATACGATGAAGTGCTTTTTCTTCGTTACATCACAAATAATCAAAGAAAGAAACTTGTTTCCTTGCTATCTGTCAGTAAAATGTGTATCTTATTATAGGTACAAAAGATTTCAACATTATCTACATGCAACTGATGACGGACACGAAATTAATCACATTGTGAAAAAAATTCAGATTAATTACCGCAAAAATCCAAGTCAAAAATCCAAGTCAAAAGTCATACCTGAGAACCGCGGATCCCTTTTTGCCGGTTCGATTTGAGCTGCGATCAGCCTCAATAGAACATTTTTAATAATTCCTTATCCATCCAGCAAGGCAGTTGAAATATGTCAAATGCAAAATAGAGACATGCTGAATAATAACGTTTTTGTGTAGGCTACTACAATGAGATGCGTTTAATATCGATTGACTAATATGCGCATCGTATTCAAAGTAAATTGCCCTGCATTTTAACTGCGCCCAAGAATTGTCCTATCAAGTGTGCAGACGCCTGGAGAAGAGAAACACTGCAAGGGCTTCAATCCAAGTCAATATATATCAGAACCATAATATTTATCATTAAATGTCGTTATTTGCGTTTCTTCACGTTCTTTGCACCTGTGAAGCTAGTATTCATGGATAAAGTGGAACTACCTCACAGTTTTTACCCCGTGAACCATGTCATGTAAATTAAGGGGGAAGGGATTTTATCGTTTGTCTTACACTTTCACACCCTGAATTTCAGCTTGGGCGCCGAGTTCACTGGGGTCCCAACTTTTCGCTGAACGGGTCCACTCGTCTGCCCCAAAGTCATAATAAATCACATTAAAATTACAATCGCATGACCGATGCCTTTAAGAATGGGTGATGCATGTATTTTTAAGTGTCCCCGAACACATCGCCTTGTCAAATGCCTATGTTTTTATTAAGAAACATTTTCCTCATACCGCTAAAACTGCCGCATATACATTGAACATAAGTCAAGGCGTGAGGTAATTATGTTGTTGGTTTCTCCGCACACATAACGATTCGTGCGTTTAATACAGAATTATAATGAATATTAGCTGACGTATAAAACAGAGTCTCGCGCTTAAGTGAAAGGACATTTTTTTACGAATGCAAATACACGGAACTGTATAGAAAAGAAAAAGTAGTAGATACTTAACAGTCAAAGGCAGTGGACAAATACAGCGAATGAACCACAATCGTATGGTTCACCATTGAATTAATATTTATTGGCCCGAAGTAAAGTTACCGTTGAGTGAATCATTTCCCCAAGTAACTAAATGCTTTGAGACCAAGAATAAATTCCTGACTAACAAGTTTCACTCATCATCTGAGAAGTGCAGAAACCAGGACTGAGGTGGTGGATAAACCGGATTTTCTCGATCTCGCAAATGACTGCACACTGCTCGCTTTCACTGAACCTTATATAAAAATGCAGAAGCTTATTACTGCCATGCGCCTTATATAACATTTAGTAACATGGATGCGTAAAACTAAACGTAATGTAGGCCTACTTATTTACAGTTTTATTGAGGGAGAAAAAGCTACAGGTGTCTTTGCGCGATGCTTTTGACACCTGGATGAAAGTAAAAACAGACCGCATGAGAAGCGCAAGAGCTCGCAATTCCAGATCCAAGCATGGGCGTACATCTACGCAAATGATATAAAACAGCCCGTAAAAATGGTAAAGTAAACGGCTATTGTCGATCCATTCATACGACGAACTTACCACTGTCGCGGGGAAATTAAGAAATGATGCATCCCGGCTGTTTGATCGCAGTCTTTAAGGGTATTGTTAAAACGTGACTGTTACATCCGATCAGCTTTTGGATTCAGATGGCTAGAATGAAGGTAAGACTGAATGACCAAAACCCGGATCTCCCCCAAACAACTGCGTAACCGGGGAGTCCCCTGTGATATGTACTGTGAAGAAAAACGCGAACTTATATGGCAAGTGGGGACGTTACTGTAATGGTATATGGGATGCGCGATCAAAGTGCCTCGATAAACAGATCAATACTAGTAGTGCCGGAGAAAAAAAAGCGTCTTACATCTATACTAATCGGTGCGAAAATCATGCAGTGAATACAAACGAGAAAAAGCCAGCGAAGCAAACAACAAGTGTTCCCTTCATGCACGTATCAGAGGGGGCCAGAAATTCCTTACACCTGCTACACAAACGCTATTTATAGAGTAAAACTCAAAAATCCACCCGGCTGCTTTGTTACATAACTTTAAATTTTTTTCATTGGTCAGTTAAACATGAAGACTAATAATAAAATACAACAATACGCAAAATCGGTTAAACTTGTGTATCGTTTTTCTTATAAGAGAATCTTAATTTCGCGATTTAAAAATAATCAATGTGGAGTTTTCCAGCTGCTGAATACGTAATTTCGCCTCGTTTGGTTTCATCAGAGAAGTCTATGAACTTGGTTACCTTTGCGGACGGTCACTCCTCCGCAAGCCGGCTCCCTGCGCTTCTGCCGGCGAAGGAGCTACGGTCCTTTCCGCTAAGGGACGTTTCCACTTCAACCCTCAGTCCCCCCCCCACCCGCCCCCCACAATCAAAGATCCAGAAATCAAGACAACGCAATCCCGGGGGTGAAAAGAAATCCACTGGAGCTATCGGTGCGTGCTCTTCTTCCCAAATCCACGAATCCTTCAGGGTCCACAATGTTCTGCTACTGTAAATGTTAACGATGTGCGGAATGCAGTTCAGTGTCAGACATTAAGCAGGAACCCCGCGTCTAATTTGTTGTGCCTTCTATATTGCTCAGAGGTGGGAAAAGCCCCCAACGAATGAACTCTGGAACGGCTTCACTGCATTCCGTCGCTTAGACTAATATCCCTTCTCTTTCTCTGGCACTAAGGTAATATGCCACTATCCTCAATGAATCCTCGCTACCCGGGTTCCCCAGTGGGTGCGGAGGGAGAGCAAACTCACAAGAGGGATCTGTCCATCGGTAACCAGGTTATCCGATCCTATTCATTCGTCCGCTGACAAATGCTGGAGTTCGCTTGCCGGACGGCGCACCTTTGCGAGGATGTGCGATGCATAAGTGCGAGTGAAGCGATTTCCAGGCGATTGCCTCTCTCTCTCTCTCTCTCTCTCTCTCTCTCTCTCTCCCCCCCCCCTCTCTCATGCACACAGTCACACTCACATAACAGCAGGAACAGTTAGAAGGCGTGGCTACGCTGAACCCAGGCGCTTTTCCACACTCTCCAGTTTATCATAACATTTTAATGATGTTTTATAATATTATATTATGTGCACGAATGGAGTATTCCTGTAAGCCCTACTGCATCACGCAAGCTTTAGTTTTTAATACTTACATTTTTAAGCGAGTATATGTAGATTTACTTCCTCACTCGTGAAAATATATACATTTCTATCTCCACGAAAGTTCAGGAAATGTTTAATTAATTTAACATTACTAATACATGTCGCCTTACTTTATGAATTGATTATCTAGCAGTCATTGTTCCCTACAACTTTCGTCCTATTAGAAGAGCAGAAAATATAAAACACTTTGAAGTTTCAAATTTTGACACATGTACAATCAATCACACACTGTAGGTCTTTTGTGTAGGTAGGCTATGTAGTACGAGATTAATCAATTTCTCGTCATTTTACCATTTAATTTGGTTTCTTATTAACATCGACATTTTGTTAAGCAAAGTGTTTTTTTGTTTGTTTGTTTATTCTGTTTTAATATATCAATGTCATTGTAACACAGAGTTGAAATCTTACCTTGGGCCCCGTCGAAATATTTTAAAAACTCGGCAGGCATTGTTCGTTGTTCTTTTAGCGCCACCTTCAGGGCGTTATGCGAACAATTAACTCAAAACCAGAACTTCGCTGACTGTGCGCAGTGGCAGCCGATATGGGACACAAACCGGCAGAGGACTGAAATATTACAATGAAATGAATCATTGTAATTACTGTTTACAACTCTGTCTCTAATGGAAAGCATTAAACGTGAATCCACCGACTGAAGTTTCGAATAATAAGTTCAATAATAAGGATTTCTGCCAAGAACTAAGTCGCCCAAGACCGGAAACCGTATTAAATGACGACAAACGCGAAAATGTAATATGCCTATAATAACCAGATTGAGGGGGGGGGGGCGTAGAGAACGAACCCTTTTAGTTATTTAAAATGCGGGACAGCAATAAAAAGAAAAAACGGGGTTATTTTTGGAGTGTTGTGCGTTCCCTTGAACACGAATTTCCTACGTTTAGGATAAAAATGGCTGAGTAGTAACCTCAACTGACATGATTTTAGCTGACGCTTTCCGTCTTTTCTCCCGGGATCCTGCGACTCCAAGGTGACTCTGTGCGATATTCCCCCTGCGTCTGTGAAATGTCTCCCTGCCCTGTAAAGCACGGACTCAGTACAACTCCTGCTCTCACTATTTCTGCTCACTTATTTTCAAGAGTTTTTTTTTTTCTTTTTCTCCGCTCCGTACGCGTTTGGATTTTAAGTGACCCCGTGGGCCGTCTAACTGCCTGGTTTGATGCATGCTATGTACAAAGTGAAAAATATGGATCAGACCTAAAGGCACCACAGTGAGCTACATCAGCAGGTTTTGCAGTTACGCTCGCTACTCTCTTCTCGCCCGACACTGATGCACGGACCACACAACCCGTGAATGATATTACCGAGTGCAGGAGAAGGCAAGTAAAAGTGTCTCATTTGTCGTTTCTTTTAAAGGCGTCACCACCGCAACTAAGAGACAAAGCAGATCATTTACACCTGACAAGTCACCTTTTTAATTCATATGATAGCTGGATATCTTTGCACAATGCTCTATTTCCTGTAAACTTAATGTCACTGCCATGCCCAACTGACTCGTGACTTCTCCGGAATTACGGAAGGTATGCAGTAAACTTTCACCCAGTGATGTCATTGCCGTTTATTTTATGAGACAATAATGGTTTAGCACTGTTGTCTCACACCTCTGGGACCTGGGTTTGAGTTTCTGCCTGGGTTCTCTGTGTGGAGTGTGCATGTTCTCCCTGTGTGGTCATGGGGTTCCCTCCAGGCTGCACACAGGTTTGCCTGTGCCCTGTAATGAATTGGCACCCCATCCTGGCTTGTTCCCTCCAGGATAGGCTTCAGGCCGGCTTGGACCCTGAATAGGATAAGTGGCTACAAATTATGAAAATATTTTGGTTGGTCATAAATAACACTGGTATTACAGTGGGCAATTTTAGCTTGATTGAACATTAGATTTCAAAAAATAGACATAGCTAAGAATCAGCTAAATCTGATTAATGCATTAAATAAAGAAACACCACACAGCATTATTCAAAAATCCATGCAAAATCTTCCACAATGCATAGAAATATCCCAACATTGTGTCAATTCATATTTATAACTTTGAGTGTTGCTGGACTTTTGGTAGGATAGTGTATGTGGATATTGATGATGTCCAGAAGGTCATTTCCATAAATTGTATTTCAGAAAATGACAATTGGCTTCCATGATACGATTATGAAAACCCAAGCTTCGGAAACATTTTTTTAAAGAGAGGTTTAATGTTTGTTATAGTGGTTAACATTATTTATGTTGCTGTTGGGATTGTCGGTGAGGCTGTCAACATTATTAGTGTTGTGGATTTCCTGATTTGTATGTTCATATGAAATTCAGCGCACATTTCATCCTAACTAAAAGTGTCTAAGTATCTGTGAGGGTGGTAATTACATTGAATTACTTATTGAACAAAATCCATGGTGTACTTATTAAAAATTCCTATGTGGCTTTTGTTACACTAGAGAGTCATCAAGAGGACTTAAGATTCAAATTAAAGAATAAAAGTTGCCACTTGTGGTTAAGATCAAATCAGGCATTTTAGGTATTATACATGTGAATGCAAGTGACTGAGAGCGTCGTGCTGAAGCCTCACAGCACAGTGGCCCCGTTAGGGATTTCAGGGCCCATAATAGCATATCACATTAGGCCCTCAACTCAGACCAATCCAGTTCTCTTCCAACTCTTTTAGGGCCCCTGTCACTCAGGGGTCCTTGGAATCATCCTAAACTCCTAACCCCCCTTAAGGCGTTGCTGCTCATAACACAGGACAGTAGTTTTATTCAAGTTCCCTGCTGTGGGTGAGGGGACTGCATTGTTCCTCCATTTTTTTTTTTGCATGAAAACGCTTAGGTGAATTTGAATTCTTGTCTCTGTATTACCCTTTGCCCTATGGGGTGACACCACACCCACGGTGTCTTATGCCCTGAACTTCCTAGATAAGTGATTACAGATGATGGAGAAATTATTCTCACTTTTTTCCCCATATTTTGGTGAATGTTTGAAAAATGAGAACTTAAGGATATACAGATTCAGTACTCAATGTCTCCTAACTAGAAGGAAAACGGCAGCATTCCATCCAGGACTTATCCTGCCTTGTGCCCTCTAACTCCTGGGATAGACTACAGGCTCAGGGAGACCAAATACTGGATGAGTAGTTATGGAAGATGGATGGATGGATGGATGGATGGATGCAAGGGCATGACATTGAGTTGAGCATTGTGAGTGTTCGGGTCTCCACCCATTTAAGAGGGTTCAAGGGGTTGCATTGGCTGGTTTTTATTATTGGGGGGGGGGGGTACAATCCTTCCCATCCCCTAATAATTTACTCACATGGATGAATAGATGGAAAGGTTGCTACTGTTTCTTTAGCGCATGCATTTTAAGGCCTAAAGTGTAGTATATATTTTCTTTCTTTTACCTTGCCTGCTATTTTAAAGGCGTAGGGTTTTAGTTTTGTATTATGTATAAGCTTGTGGATTTCAGATTCTACAGCCTTTGTCACAATGAATGAAGTGCTACCAGGGAAATGAGAGGATGGTGCTGGAGAATTAAAGTCTCGTCTGGGCTGACGTGTGCTTCTTTCTCTCAGCGGGATAATTGGAAACCAACCCAATGGTATCAACCAATTAAGTTTTTTTTCCCCCCAGCTGAAGAAGAGGGTCTGGTGCAAAGCACTTGTGATGTCATTCTAGGTGAAATCTGTACGTGTATGTGTGTGTTTAGATTAAGAGAACACCTTTGAGACATTTAATGGTTCCGTTGTCAACCTTGACAAACGGATTGTTTGTATTTTGGTTATTAAAAGTATTCAAGAGGTGTTACTGATGGAGGGAGTGGACAGAGAAAATAATGTGTAGACACACTGAAGATAAAATTTTGTAATATTGCTGGTATTGCCCAGAGACCTTTGGCATGGTAACCAGTAATATGGGGTGGGAGGGGGGGCGATGGGGGGGGGGGGTTGGATATTAAAGTAAACAGGTGGAGATACTGAAAGTTGTAGGGATATACGACAGGGCTCAGGAGAAGTTAATGTGTTTCAGCACTCCAGCACGCAAAGCAGAGCGCTATGGCCAGGTGTTCCTTTTAACATTTTTTTTTATATGGTGGCGGGAAGTTGGGTCTATTTCTTTCATTTGCGCGGCATACCTCACCTGAACAGCTTGCGTTCTCCTTATGTTTCTCTGATTTTCAAGTCACCTCGTCAATCTGCTTGGTGCAGTGCGGTTCCACAGGCTGTAATGAGCAGAAAATTTTAAAGGTCGAAGTGTGAGACGTTCACGCAAACTTTGCCGTTTTCTAACAAGTGCATGGTTTCGTAGGTGCGGGCGTCTTGGTGGCTCTGCTGTCTCGTTATGGAAATAAAAACTTTGCCGCAAGTAATTGGAAAACTTTGGATGCATTGATATATTCTGTGTGTGTTTGTATGCGTGTGTGTGTGTGTGTGTGTGTGTGTTTGTGCATAGACAGAGAGAGAGCACAGCTTTGATATTCCATGCTTACTTCTGTTTGTGATTCTAATGAACAAAAACAAAAGATATTTCCAGTAAAAACCTCTTAAAAGAATACAGTTAATTTACAATAACAGTACTGTAACTAAACCCTTAACACTTAATACTTCATGTTTTGTTTCCCATACATATCAGCAATAAAACATATCTCCAATGATTCAAAGACGTAATGAGCAAAAAGCAAACATGGAGCAACATCTTTTCAAAAGGAAACTTAAATTGCCGATTTCAGACCCATGTCTCGTTTAAAACACAGCCCCCCCCCAATTTGCCGT